TGAAAACCAAAAACTGGTTCTAGGTTAATAAGATTGATCAGTCTTTAGTTAGACTGATGTGCAAAACAAGAGAAAAGTTATAACCAATTTCAGGAGTGGAAAAGAGTTATCACTGCAGATCATGTAGACATCCAGAAGGCAAGGAATACAATGAGCACCTTCATGCTGTTTAAAGGAAACAGATTCCTTAACAGGCACAAATTGCCAAAACTGACCCAAGGAAAATATAGACTAATAGCCATATATTGATTTAAGAAATTCAATTCATAATTGAAACTGTCCATGAAGAAAGTATTAGGCTTAGCTGGCTTTTTTATTAAGTTGTTTTAATTATGATCTTATACAGACTCTTAGAGCAGAAGAGGAACCACTTTCTAACTACCTACATTGCCAAAAACACCAGAAGAAAAGAAAGGTACAGACCAAAATGCTTCAGGGCAACAGATATAAAAATTCTTACCAGAATATGAGTAAATAAACTTACCAATGTATAAAAAAGGATATTACATCACGGTCATGTATTATTTATCTCAGGAATTCAGTGTTTGTTTAACACATGGATATCAGTAGGGCAACTTGTTTACCATAAGAAAGTAAAAGACAAATACCAAATGAACATTTCAATAAGTGCATGAATTGCTTGTGGCTAAATTATACAACTTATCCCTGAGAAGACTAGTCAAACAGAAGAAGGTAATTTCTAACCCCAAGGAAGGTCATCTGTGACAGGTGATAGCTTACTTTGTATGTGGTGGGGAACTGCTGAGTACCCTCCCTCTAAAATCAGGGACAAAGCAAAGATATACAGTTTCATGATTTTTATCCAACATTTGACTCTCGATTGTAGCCATTGGAGTAAGAAAACAGTAAATAATTTGGAAAGATGGAGGTTGTCTTTATTTGGAGAGAGCATAATTGTGTATGAGGAACATTATAACAAATCCACAGAAATGTACTAGAACTAAGAAGTGAAGTTAGCTTACAGGTCAATATTATAAAACCTAACTTCTCTCAAAAATCAACATTTAGAAAACTTTAACTCATTCTGTATAGCAACAAAATTTAAAATGTTTATGAATGGAATAAAATACATAGTCTATAAACTGAAACATTGCTGATGGAAATTAAAAAAATACCTAAATAAATGAAGAAATAGTCTGTGCTCATTGTTTGGTAGAATCAGTATTGTTCAGACCCTTTGGGGAATTGCCATCTTTTCCAGCAGGCTCATTTGAAGAAATTGACAAGTTGATTCTAAAATGTATTACCCAGAATAATTTTAAACAAAGTTGGAGGATTTATATGACCTGCTATCACAGTTTACTATAAAGCTGTAGTATTTAAAACGGTCTAATAATAGTGTGTGGAAAGACTTAGATTAATGAAACAGTTCAGAAGTAGACCTACACTTAAATGATAAATTAATTTTCAGCAAAGGGACCAGGGTAAATCACTGGAGGAAAAAAGAAGGTCTTTTTGACAAGTTCTGATGGAACAAATAGATAACTCTATGGAAAATAATGAACCTTGGCCTTATCTTACACCACACACAAAAATTAACTAGTAGTAGATCATTGACTTAAACATAGAGTTAAAATTGCAAATTTCTAGAAGAAACTAGGACATCTCTGGCATTGTGTTAGGCAGAGATACCTTTAGAAGGCCATAAAAAACAAACTGTTAAAGAAATGATAAAAATGGGCTGGGGATTTAGCTCAGTGGTTCGGTGGCCTGCCTCGCAAGTGCAAGAAC